AAAAAAAAAAAAAATCAGCAGCCTCTTTCATGTGTGAGTCTCTGTCCTACCAAACCCTTTGGTGGGCTCTTGTTCAGTGTTTATTTGTCTAACTAGTTAGACTGCTGTGCCTCTGGGCTGGCCCGCTGTCATCCCCCCCGTCTTTCTCTTTCTTACTCTCACGCACACACAAACTCACAGCCACACCAACACTATTCCTCTGTTTTTCGTTTATTAAGTGTTAGAATTACTCCTTGGCAGTGGCTTAAGGTAATCCAGTCATTTGTTTCATCGGGCTGCCAAATCTTGTTTCCCTCGGCTTTATACAGCACTTGCACCATGAGAGCATGCTGAGTTTTTTTTTTTTTTTCTTTAAATTTTTTGTGAGGGAGAACCACGTAGAACAAGATATGCCATGAACCAAAACTTCAGGCAAATTTTTCATACATATTGTCTAAAAACTAGGGGATATTTTATGACCATGATCTTGTGAACAGCTGATAGATGAGGTTACTGCAGGGCCACAGGATTTTTTTATTTTTATTTTTTTTTCACATCAGCTCCAGGGTGCTTGATCCAACACTGGACAATGGAATGTGTGATGAATGTTATAGTTTGCAGAAATGCCTGTCTTATTTCAAGTTTTCCTCTTCAAACCAGTTTGGCGTTATCTAGTCTGTGGTTATCCTGTTCATAAAATGCTGCAAGGATGAGAGCTAATGGCATTCATAACTAAGAATGACATCAGAGAGGTAGAGATGGAAATGGGAGAAGGATCAAAACAATGAGGTGAAAGGATGAAGTGCGTGAGAAGTATAGCAAAGGTAATAAGAAGAGGAAAGAGTGAGAAAGTCACATACACAGACAGATATGCTGATGATCAAGTCCTTAAGGTGAATCATCTGTAATTACTCACGTCATCCACGGACTGCGCTCCGATAAGCAGCATGCCCTGAGAGACCGCTACTCACAAATGATTTCTCATAATGTGTGGCAATGGCACCGAGCCTTCTTTGTCTCTGTCACACATGCATTCAAATACAAACACTCATTCACACTGATGGAGAGGCTGCGACTATTGGCCTACTGAGACGCAACATGCTCCAGTCAGAACAAATTAAGAGCTTAGCCTGCCCAGGACGTTCACTCGGGAGCCACCGAATGGACTGATGGGGTGTGTGTCCGTGTGTGTGAGTGTGTTTGATCCAGATATACTGTTATCTGTCTGGGAGGCAGGCTGATTTCTTTGCAGTGTCCAGGGGGCTTAACCCATCACTAAAGACTGTTAAAGATTACATTCTCGCATGCTTTGAAAGCATTCTGCAGCAACAAACCAACACCCCAGACACCCGCTCTGCATGCAGAATAGAATTAATGGGTACATACAAAGTGAAGTACATTCTTCACATCAACAGGGAATACAACAAAGCTGTCTTTGCCAGGAACTTTGCCTTTTGAAACAGTATTGTAAATCTTCATTTATGTCCCTTTCACTCACACATTTTCTGTACTTGTCTAATCCTGTTCAGGGTTAACAGGGCTGGGCCCTATCCAATAGTCAACAGGACATGTCTGGGGTACACCCCAGTCATCAATCTATTACTGGGCCAACACAGAGACACATGGGGCAGACCATAAATGTGCAGACTTATACCTGAAGTGAGTTTAGAATTGCCAATGATCCTTACAGCATGTTTTTGAAAGGAAACCAGAGCAACTGAAGACATTCCACACATGCGTGGAGTGAACTCCCCCAGAAAGGCCTGGGTGAACCAAAACTTAGCTATGAGTCTATTTTACAGTGAGACAATAATGCTATCCACCACCTTACGGTACAACCTTTCATTTATGCCAAACAATGTTTTTTTTTTTTTTTTTTCCAAGCTAAGTCCAAGATAAGATAAAGGATTTTAAGATAAGATACTAATACAAGTTCACGTCTGGTTAGTTGAAAAAAAATAATAATGTGTTCTTTATCTTTTGAATTCATTTTAAGAAACTGCTTTTACACACACAAGCCAGACTAGAAATGCTGCAGACAATATTCAAAAAATGACAAATGTCCATCATGGTGACAGGACTGTCTTCCGAGTGTAAACAAAGTAAATATGAAGCAAGGATGCATGCTGAAACATTTTGCTGCAGTACAGATAAATAAGTAGTTGTCCAAAACTGTTGACATGCTGTAAACAAAACGCTTCGATTCCCGCAACTTACATTTTGCTTTGTCTTCCTTTCTGTGCGGTTTACCTATATGCCACACTAGCATTTATTTTTTCCAGTTGTGAGAATATGTCTCATACAAACCATTTAGTATGTTTAAGATTTGGCAGTTGTGGACTAAAGACTGAAATATAGAGAGGCTGTCAAGGAACGTCTGTGTTTCCAGCATCCTTAACAACTTCTACGTTACTACTTTTGGTTTGTCTCTTAGCAAAATATTTAAACAGTAAACTATAGTGGTGTCCAAAGCCAATTGAAAGTATCGAATTGGAATAGAGATTAATATATTTTTCATTGATTGGCATCAGAGTAGATTAGTCTTAACTTCCAGTATGACATTGTCTACAGTTTTACCGTGCAACCGACACACTATAATACAACTGTTGTACAGCAGCCATAATATTCAATTCAATTCAGTTTATTTATACAGCACCAAGTCACAACAGAAGTCAGCTCAGGGCACTGAACAGAAACATTCATAGATATAAAAAATAAGTTATTAATTATCTGAGGAGCAGACTGCTTTGAGTTCAACTTCATTGCAGAACTCTCATCTTAAGCAAGCATGAAGGCGACAGTGGAAAGGAAAAACTCCCTCGTGAGGAAGAAACCTTTAGCAGAACCAGGTTCAGGACTGCTTCGACCAACTGGGTTTGAGAGGAACAGGAAGGAGGAACAGATACACAATGGCATGTCAAGAAACACATGTTAAGATAGAAGTAGGATCAAATGAAAACTATTCAATTTTAGCAAATAATTTTAAGAAAGTGGTCAATTTATCCTCCAGTAGTCTAAGCCTATAGCAGCATAACAAGCCAATCCTACCTATAGGATTTATAAAAAGGTAAAGTCTTAAACCTAGTCTTGAATTTGGACAATGTGTTAACCTCACGGACATAAATTGGAAGTTGGTTCCACAAGAGAGGAGCCTGATAACTGAAAGAGCTTCCTCCCATTCTGCTCTTGAAAACTCTAGGAGACTGCGAGTAAGCCTGCAGTCTGAGAACAAAGTGCTCTGTTAGGAAAATATGGGACAATGAGATCTGTAATAGAAAATGATAAAATGGAGCTAGGTTGGTGAGAGATGTGTAGGCTATAAGATTTTGAATTCAATTCTAAATTTGACAGGAAGCCAATGGAAAGAGGCTAAACCAGGAGAGATATGATCTCTCCTACTAACTGCAGTTAAGACTCTGGCAGCAGCATTTTGAAGACATTTTTAAAGAAGTATTTGGACATCCATATAATAAACCATTGCAATAGTTCAGTCTAGATGTGAAAAATGCATGAATCGTTTTTTTTTTCTGCATCACATTTAGAGAAGATGTTTCTAATTTTGTTGATATTACGCAGGTGGAAGAAAGCAATTCTTGTAACATTTTTAATGTGGGGGTTAAATTTCATGTCCTGATCAAAAATAAAACCCACATTGTTTAACATTAGAACTGTTAATAATATTTTAAATAATATTGCACAAGACTTAAAATTAAAGACAGTTCACTGTAGGGTGGTAAAAATATATTCAACATATATTGCCCTGCTGGTGCCAAACATGCTGATCATGATGCTAGCGCAGTCACATTGACAAAATTAAACAAAATAATATAGATTTTTTTTTCATCAGACCACATAAGCAAATAGTTTAGACAAAGACATCTTAATCCCTTGTTTTGTACTCTCCTCCCTCCTGTCTCCCCCCTGTTGCTAAGCTGTCAGTCACCTGACATGGTGCTGACATGAGATGCAAACACTGAAGTGCTGGGCTCAACAGTAGCTGGGCAGAAGAGGCATTTATGACATGGAAAAAAAAAAGTAAATTAAGAAAATTTATGTGGCAACAGAGCCAATTCAACTTTGTTTTTGCTGACAAAGGAACATTTTCCCTGTGTGGAACATTTTTCTGACAGCTGTGCAAAAAGTCATTATTTGTTAGCAGTGTTAGCATCATGCAGCCAGCAGCACAATGAGGTAACATTTTATAGCAGAATCATCTGAAGCCTCATTAAGAGCATCATACTGACAGAGAGTTAGACCCATATACTTTTTGAGTAATATCATCATTCATCATGATTAGAAGAGGATGATACGGTTTGGCTGAAGGAGTACACAGAACTATTCCCAACACTGTCTGTGGTTAGAAGAAAGCACATCTGCATTTGTGGAGCAAATTGCAAAATAGAGCAAGTATTGGACTGCGACTTGGCATTGGCTGATTCTTTTTTTAAACTACTTTATATGACTCAGATTGGTATTGGGGACAACAGTTCTAGATCGGCACATCTGTAGTACTTAGCAATACAAAGTTGAAATAAATTTAAAAAAAAAAGAGTACAAAGATATCCAATGTGTATTCCAATGTTTCTTTAGTTAGTCAAGCTATTTTAATCAACGTATGCCTCTGACCTCACTGACATTTTTTAGAACCTCCACCCTCAATAAAAGTAGGATTGCTTTGTATTTGTTGTGGATGTCCAAGCTTTTAAATAAATACTTCTAGTTTTCTGCTAATGTATATGCCTTAATTTATTTAAAATCTACAACAACTTCATTAGTGGTCTGTCCTTTATCCAAACTAGTGGCAAACAAGCTGTGAGTGTGTCTGTCATGCATCAGAGCCTAAACTTTGCCTGTGATGATGTTAATATCATCATCAAAGGCATCATCAAGCTGTCTTTAATCATTAGCCACAATAAAACTCCCCTTTATTTGAAATCTTCAACCTCAGAAATATAATTAACTGGATCATCAGTAACATGGCAAATACATATAAATAAAAGCTTTAAACACAGGTAAGAAAAGCAGAGATATTTTTACTGGACTTAACTTTGAAATTATTATACTTTTTAATAATAAAACCATTGAATTGTAAAATGGTTTTAGTTAAGCTTTGACAAGAGGGTGATCAGTCGTGTTTGCTAATCAGTCTCAGTTACATCTAAGTGCATTGTGACCCTTTCCTGGTCCATAGGACAGTCCTTTACAATTATTGACCTGAACTTCTTTGAAGAAGGTGAATTACTATGATGACTTTGTGTTCCTAAGATGTGCTTATTGCCGTCGCTATGTCCTGAGCAGCTCAGGTTACCACAATTCATTTTACTGTCCTTTTAGCTGCTTCACCTACAGCACAGATCAGAGAAACCAGGAGCAGCATCTCTCCAACCGGTGGGCCAGCTGCGACCATCAAGGGTCAGGGTCAGAGGTCAAAAGGACGAACGTAGGGTCTTTGTGTTGTTATATATCAATTAGGGTGTGGGGGTGGGGGGTGGGGTGTTACACCACCCTGGAGAAAAACAAGGGGAGTCAGCTCACTTATTTACCTTTATTTATTCTAGCTGACATACAGCCTAGCACATTCCCAGAGGGAGTTTCATAAGCTGGTGGAGCTACTTGCTGAAGTAACAAATAATGTCAAACTGAGAACGTTGGCTTTGCATAAAAACAAATAAATGTTTTATTTCTCCTTTTTCTTGTGACAGACCCATGATCAAATTTAACAATCTTTTCTGAAATATGAGAAAACGTGTTTATTACAAACATAACTATGGAGAAATTAAACTTTCTGTATGGTAGTTTTGTTTTTGGTTAGGTTCAAACTTCTCTAAAGACGACTTAAAGCAGATGTGGATAGAATTTAGTGGGATATGAGCTTTTTGTTTTAATGATACATGCTTAACACATACCCTACTGTTTTTCAGTTTTGTAGCAAAAATGAGGAACATTTGATACTTTATTTGTAAAAAACAAAACAAAAAAAAGTTATTACAGTTATTACTCTGAACTATGTTTTACCAGCCACTTCAGTCTTGCATAGCATGTTTGCTAAGCTGCAGGTTTATATTTATGACCTAATCTGGCCGTTATTGTGTGGCAACAGCAATTCCTCACTGTGAATTTCACCCTGAGGGGGAAAAAAAAAGTAAAAAAAAAGCAAAAGAAAGTAAATTTTGGCAGGTATGGCTGGCTATGAGCTGTAGTACAGCATGAACGGGGAAAAAAAAAGTCAAAAGACACTGCTAAATTCATGGGACTGATTCAAAATGCACAACCACATGAAAACTGAAGAAGACGTCGCGCATGCTCTTGGTCACGCTCCTAACCCGTAGAAGTCTTCTATTTAGTCTTGAGGTTGAAGCTGGAGGTTCGGCTCATGATTTTGATGTTTTCTCTCAGAGAATGTTTGAGTTCCGACATAAAATTGCAAAAGTGAGCATTCAAGTCTGAACTGGAAATATAGAGAGCATTCCAAGAGCAATAGCAGAATCACTGGAGGCAGCAGCACAAGGTGATTACTTCAGCAGGAGTTGAAAATTTGAATTTCAAAAAGTTTTTTTTTTTTCTTTTTTGTGGAGACTGTCTCAGACTTTTAATCTCATCTTAAACAAAAAGTCAGCAGCTCACTATATTTCCAGGGTTTGTGAGACACATTCTGTTTTGATCCATTATTTAATGTTGTTCTGATGATTCTGATCCAAATAAACTGGTAGAAAATCCAAACCCTCCTGGAAAACTAAAAACAATGTGTCATGTTTAAACTTACACTGATGGTGGCACATTGCACAAGCTGTAAAAGCTTTGTGATGCTATCTACAGAAGAGAAGAAAACAATAGTTCCTTCAAAAATTGGTATATTTGTTCTGGTTTGCTAGATCAATTCTATAAACGTCTTAAAAACGATTCAAAAGTATAGCTAATTTTGTCTAAAAGGAATATCAAATATATGCAAGAATATTTTCCATGTGCAATACTTAAAAACAACTGAAACATACAAATTGGTCCTGAAACTCGTATAAAAATAAACTAAAATATGCACTTGTGTTATAATTGTTACACAAGATGATATTCTGAAATACCATGTCAGCAGAGTCACTAATCACAGTGGCAGATCGTGTCCTCCCGTTGGTTTCTGTTGTATTAAAGTCTGTCAGCGAAACTTTTTTGCCTGTCATCACGTCGTTCTGTACCAGTATTTATAACCAGGCTTTTAAAGCAGTGAGTACAGTCAGGTGAAATATTAAGTTTAGCCCCACTTTTCTATATTTAGTTCGGTTGAAATCTCCAGTCATTTCCTTGTTAGTGTTAGAGCTTTGGGGAGCTTTGACTTCTTTCTGATGAATGAGGCGATGCCAAAGAAATTATGACGGAGAGAAACTAAACACCAGTGGGGCCTCTCATTCTAAGGTTTCCTTTCATTTAGTCTCTTTTTTGTTATTTTTTATTTTATTATTTTATTGTATTGTCTGTTTTCAAAGATAAACTAAACTGGGTATTTCAGCACAGCTCTGTTTTTTTTAATGAAATAAGAGATGCCTCTCTTTACACATTTACATGCCTCATGTCATTTTACCCACTATTAGCCCACTGTTACATGTGATTTTCCATTTCCCATTGGTGTGTACAGTTTTGATTTGTTTGGACATCAAAACCAAAAAAAAAAGCATGATCTATGAATCTTCCCACTGTGTTAAATTCAAAAGGAATGACTCCACTCTGTTTTTCTCCTCTCCTCTCTTTTTGCTTTCTCCCAGTGGAGGGAAAATGTAAGATAGACACGAACGTTCCTGGTATACACTCACATCTGTCTATACGTCGTAGCTTTGTTGTTTCATAGTGGATTCAGCACGTTTCAGTAGAAGTAGTACTGTGATGCAAATAACCAAGACTACAGCTTGAAAGTCCTCACTTTTAGAGAGAATAAAAGATCGTGTTAGTATAAGGGTGGAAAAGAAACACTATGAGATTTTTGTTAATATTTAACAATAATTAGGCAGCTTTACAAAAAATTCACGATTAAAATGGGAAATCACACTTCATGGGTTTTCTGGGAGATATTTTCACAGCAGTCTAATTGAGAAAACTTGACTATGGCACCAAATTTGCTTTTAATTAATTGAAGTAATTTATATGAGATCTGGTAGTGTGACTTTTCACCCTTAAAGTGTTTATTAGATGCTTAGTATTCAGCAAGAGTCAATCTGAATCTAAATAATTTATCTCTGAATGCTTACTAGGTGGAGATAACTTTATTTTTGTCCCCTCTTGTCCCTCCTTTTTCCCCTCTTATTTCCCCATTTCCAATTCCAAATCCTTACTCAACATTCTATGGATCTCATTGCTGTTGTTTTTTTTCTGTTTCCATCATGACTTATATCTTCATCCTTTTATTTTATTTTTCACAACAATATATCTTTATTTATTTTGAACATCTCACTTGTGAGTGTTTAAATTTCTTTCTCCCCCTCTTTTTGGTCTTTTTTCCTCCTTTTCTCCCTCCATTTCTCCTTTCGACCCCTCCTTTTATTTTCTTCCAGTGGGAGGAAATCAGCGGGGTGGACGAGCACTACACTCCAATTAGGACCTTCCAGGTCTGCAACGTGATGGAGTACAGCCAGAACAACTGGCTTCGCACGAACTGGATCCCTCGACAGTCAGCAAGGAAGATCTACGTAGAACTCAAGTTCACCCTGAGAGACTGCAACTCTATCCCATTGGTACTGGGCACCTGTAAAGAGACCTTCAACCTCCTCTACCTGGAGAACGACGATGACCAGGGAAGTCATTTCAGAGAGCACCAGTTCCTCAAGATTGACACTATTGCTGCTGATGAGAGTTTTACCCAAACAGACCTTGGAGATCGCATCCTCAAACTAAATACAGAGGTGCGCGAGGTGGGCCCCTTGATCAAGAAGGGTTTCTACTTGGCATTTCAAGACGTTGGTGCTTGTGTAGCTTTAGTTTCAGTTAGGGTTTACTTTAAAAAGTGCCCGTACACTGTGAAAAATTTGGCCTCCTTCCCTGATACAGTTCCTATGGACTCACAGTCCCTGGTGGAGGTCAAAGGTTCATGTGTCAATCATTCTAAAGAGGAGGAACCTCCACGGATGTTCTGTAGCACAGATGGAGAATGGCTGGTACCTATTGGGAAGTGTCAGTGCAACCCAGGATATGAGGAGAGGAGCAGCGCCTGCCAAAGTAAGACCGCTTTCTTTCAATCATTTTTATCTTTGTCACATGTACCACTGGGTATAGTTTTGCCATCTGTTAATGCTGTGTACATTTATCATATGCCTATCTTCTTTTGGAGTTTGTAGCCAAAGTACAAATTCTCTAAGGTTGCAACAGTGAATTCTATGATGTGAAGGTTCTCTCACTTCATATCTGTCTGCTCAAGGACTTTAATGGCAAACACCTAATCTCTGTGTGTATAAAATGTGTGTGTTTGCGTGCATTCTGAACGTGAGAACTTCAAACAATTCCAACAATCCTAGGGTGTTTTTGGATAGGTTGTCCAGTTGGACAGTCGTAGGTCCGTGTACGTGAATGATGTGTTATCCAGCTCCTGCACCTACGGTGTGCAGCTAACAGTAATTCAGGGGTAGTCAGTGACACTTCATCAGCTTTGGGAAGATCCTAGCCAGGACTGCATCGATGGGTCTGATAAAAGAGTAGGTCGGAGTGGGTCGTGAATAATGAAATACTTGTGGTGATGATTGTGGGTGCTGATGAAAGCAAGAGTGGGTAGTCATTTGAGATGGCTGCTTTCATTGTCTGATCATCAAGACAGTAACCGCCCCCACCCCACCACCACCACCACCTCCACCACCCACAACCCAATGCAGAATCTGCACACATTGAAGAGAAGATTGACTTCTGCTGTTTCTTCTTGATTTCAGGATAAAACAAAAATGTCAAACTTATTACTATCATAGAGTGATTTTTCCCACCTATTTAAAATTGCAAAATTGCTCAAATGGAAAGCCTGGGAAAATTAATTTTACACTCAGTGGGATGGATTTTAACTATAATACTGTGTTAAATGTAGACACTTTATCTAAACCTATAAACATAGTACTTATTAAAAAAAACAATGTGTTAATTTACAGGTATTTACAGGTATATATATATATATATATATATATATATATAATTTTTATTTGTATTTTTTTATTTAGATGTAAAGGCTTGCAATTTTTAATATTTGAGCTAAGATGTCTATTTTGTAGCATCCAGCAAAGTTAAGTCAGGTCCTCTGGATGGTTTATTTTAATTTAAATGTTCCTTCTTTCATCCAAATGACGTCACCAATCCAAGGAGCCACAACAAACTCATTCTTATAAACAGCTCCTTCACATTGTGGGTCAACCAGTTTGATGGTGCTCAGATGGTTTCTTGAGTCCGACCTCTCCTTCGCCAACTCGTTTGAGGCAGTCATGACCAAAGTTGTTCAAAATATCCTGATTGTTGGTTGTGCTATTTATAAGACTGAGTTTGCTGCAGCTACTCGGACCGAAGAAGTCTTTTGGATGAAAGATGAAACATTTCAACAAAAACAAACCATCCAGAGGACCTGACATAACTTTGTTGGAATTTTCAGCCACGATTATTGAGCAATAATCAGGATATTTTTGAATCAACTACCGATAAATTAATAATCTCAAAATTGATCATCACCAGTGTTCTCTTGAACTTAAACTATACAGAAACAGCTTGTTAGTGTAACTTTAGGTGGTAGCCTTATGCTTGTGCTTTGTTTGTTTGTGTTTTGCTATTTGACTAAGCAAGAGGAACAATCAACAGTAAGAAGAAAAAAAAAGCTGTTCTAATGCTTTGGAGCCTCACTTTCGCTTTGTTATGGAAGATGGCTGTGGTCCACAGTAACTCCACGTGGGTTCTTCCGTTTTTGGTTTCAGTGAGCTCCTCTAAGCTGAAAAAGCCAGACACAGGAACCATTTGACAGCACAGCCTCTGCTCTGCTGATTCCCCACAGTGGTTTTAAAGTTAAAACTGCATAGAGGTTTAGAACAGAGGATTTGCCATTTATCGTTCCCAGTTATTGTAGCCTGTCCCAAATGGTCCCTTGTTCATCAACTCTCTCTTCTCCAGAGGCATGCTCAAAGTTAATTAAAGATCAAAGGCAGTCTAACAGGTCAAGCCCCTGCTGTCAGGGCCAGAGGAGACTCTTTTTCTGGAATTCTGGACTCCAGACAAGCCTAGCTCACTGCCCCAATGTGAGGTCAATTTCAGTTGAAGCTGTCAGATGAAAAATATGATCATGAAAACAACAAATCTACAACATACATATTAAAACATAATATATTCATCTATACTTTTTGGACCATCATACACCAGTTCACTCTGTTTTCAGTGCACTTTAATGAAGAAAATAAAAAGACTAAAACACAATTACATTTAGTTTGATAGCTGTCATTTGGGTTCCACCCTCAAAAAAAAAAAAAAAAAAAAGCAATGATAACATGGTGTTATGCCAAAAAAATGGCAGATGCAATAGATCACCCTGATCAACACCACCTCCCCCCACCCCCACCCACACACACACACACACACCAACATATACACTCACATGCCTCTCCTATCACCTTCCAGTCACTTCCTGCCTCTCTGCAAATTGTGTGAATGTTTGGATGTATTTGACAATCTCTTATTAGTTTCAGAGTGGCCTAATGGACTCTAATAAGGTCTTGTGTTTCCATGGAGTGGGACAGCTGCACCAACAGGTCCCCACAGCCCCCGTATGCAGCCATCAGGGGCCCCATTGCGCCGCTTGCTCTCCAGGCTCTCTGTGTTAACAGATAGATGGCTGAATGGGGTTAGGCCACCATACACACCAATGGCTAAAGAAGATGAAAACATATTTACAAGGCTACAGACAACTTAAAGTGATGGAAACAGATGTTTAGGTGATGGTTTCTCAAGTATTTACATGTTACAGACCTTCAAGTGAACAAGACCCCACAAGCTACTTTATCCTAGAAGTCAGTGATCTAATTTTATTAAATTAGCATTTTTTTAAGCAGTAATTCTAAAAAAGATATATTTTTTATTTTCCTTTTTACTAAATGCTGCATTATTTTTTACATCATATTTGTTTATTGAGGATGAGTTTATCCTTGTCTATATATATAATAATATTAATATTAATAATAAAGTGTTATGTATTGTCATCATTGTATGTTCCCATACAATGGCGAAATCGTCTCTCTGCATTTAACCCATCCACCACCAGGTGGTGCAGTGGGCAGTTATTGAAAGTGCTCAGAGAGCATTTTGGGGATAAGGTGTGCTGCTCAGAGACACCACGAGATGTGCAATGACTGGGGATCGAACCTGGGACCTTCGGGTCCAGAGTCAGCTGCCCTGCCCCTACACCATCCCATGTACATACATATAATACACTAGTATTAGACTATCATTAGACTATCATTGTCTTTATGGCTTGTAAATGTGTGTCTGTGTGTTAGGACAGAAATTATTGTGAAAGCATATATATTTTTATTTGTGGCTCTTTTAAAAGAATGCACATATTTTGTTGGCTAAGCCCATAGTCATATATATGTTGACGCACCATTGAGCGCTGAATCGTACATCGACATCGACATCATTTTAAATGTGGCAGAACTGCCAGTCGTTTATTGCAAACAAACGGACAGATCTTCATAAAGCACTGCTGCAAAGTGTTTTAGGTTGATTCCTGTCATTCAATGGGGGCCCAGACGCTGTAGAGGCAGGGCAGCCAACTCGGGACCCGAAGCTCCCAGGCTCGATCCCCAGTCATTGCACATCTCGTGGTGTCTTTGAGCAGCACAACTTATCCCCACAATGTTCTCTGAGCACTTTAAATAACTGCCCACTGTGCCACCTAGTGGTGGATGGGTTAAATGCAGAGAGCCAATTTCACCATTGTATGGGAAAATACAATGATGACATTACATAACACATTATTAGTAGTATATTATTATTTGCACACACTAATACAGTATATATTGAAAACAGACACCAAAAACAACCTTTGTAACTTTTAACGTTATAAGTTACAAATGTTTTTGGTGCCTGTTTGTTTTTCATATATTTGTGTTGTGTTTGTGAATGACAGGCATCAACTTAAAACACTTTGTTGAACAATGCTTTATGAAGTTCTGTCCATTCTTTGCATTAAATGACTGGCAGTTCTGCCACATTTAAAATGGCAGACACTTTGATGTACCGTCAGCCCGCTCAACGAGGCATCTAGTATATATGTCTATGGGCTAAGCCAATGGCATGGCATGTTTGGGGTACCTTTGTGTGAGTGTGTGAGTATACTTTGTGCAGATGACTGAATGTATTATCAACAAGAGGCCGTGTGTATACTCTAGAACATATGTCAGTGATTTTGTCCTTATCAGAAAAGGCAGTGTTGTCAGGTTTATTTGTCAGGGAAAGTTTTGGGGATTGTGTAGCGACTTCAGTCAGCGTCTGGGTTACAGTATGTTCTGTGTTCTGTGAGCTGCCTTTCGCCTTTCCACACAAATGTGAGTCCAGATCTAATCTCGCTAAGTCAGTCTTTCATCTGTCAATACAACAGACTGAAGCAGGTGAACTGACTCCTATCTAACATCATGTGTGAAATTCCACAACTCTAATTTGATCCTAAAACAGCAAACGGCTGACTGTTTGTTAAAAGTGTGTGTGCATTGCGTGTGTGTGCGGCTGTGTGTGTGTCTGTGCAAGCAGCTGTTCTGTTGTATTGTGAGGGGAGACGCAGGTTTACATTCTTGCTGAATTCATCAAGGCACACAATCCGGAAACTTGCCAGAAACGAAATGCTCATTACACTACAGAATAAATCTTTACACTCAGACACTCACATATGCCTCAACTTGTCTCGGCTTTACTCCTCTGGATTACCGTCTTTTATCCCATCCTAAGAGGAGGAATAAAGTCAGGCTGGCTCTGTAGACAAAACACTTGTTTGAATTAACCTGTGTGTTGTGTGTTTTCAGCTTTTTAGACCTTATGTCTTTTTAGAGTGATAAACATTTATAGTTATTTTATTTTTTTTCTGGTGCCTGTTCTGCATGAATCAGCAGCTACTTAGAAATATTTAGTTTAATTCTTACTTAAATATACAAGAACATTTAAATAACTTGTATACAATATATATAAACAAATACAATATACAATACACATACAAT